ATTTGGTCGATATTACAGATTCTTGCATCTAATGTGGACAATTCATAAGTAAATCGGATAATTAAATGATATAACTGTCTTTAGATTTTAAATTGTATCATGCAGAATTATACGCCGCAAGACCAATTTGTCTATCTTATACATTATACAAAGATGATTCCTATGGGAAATATTGGATTTAATTAAAATGTACCGTGACGTAAACAAGAAGTAACATCTTATCATTTTATATTTTTCTAAAAATTACTATCGTCTTTTTACAATATATCCAAACATGAAAAATATATTGTGTCGTTATGCATGTTTCTATCACTAATGTAGACATATTACACGATACATGCTTCGATTATTGTTTAAAAATCTATAAACGCACGATGTTCATTGCATGGCCAACAATACTGACAAATATGATCCCGAAGCTTTCATGATCTATAATAAAATATGCGCTCTTTGTATTAGAGATTAATATTTTTTAAATAATGATCTTATTACAGAAAAAGAGTGTTTTATATAAAAATATTGCTATAAAAAATTTACATAATATTTACGTAACAGATGGATATGAAAAGATTATATAGATAATAAGTAAATCTCGTGTAGAAAATATCTTGTTACGAGTATATCTTGTTATGTATTATTGTCCATAATTATTTTTCTATGTGTAAATCTTACGTCTGTAAACGATTCTAAAGAAAGATCCATTATTTTTCCAACTGTAAGCGTCAATTGCTTCTGCGCTCTTAATATGACGAATATTATATTACGACTATTCTTAGGTTTCATTTTATACCATGCAGAATAGTACGCTGCATTTCCAATAGCTTTGCTCTATAAAGGTAAAAATGATTAAGAAACAGACAAAATGTTTCTTGTAATTTGACAAAATCGCAATAATGCATTATCGATCATCGTTGCATTGTCCCGCGTATCTAACCTTGTTTTTCAAATATTCTCCTGCAAAGCAAAATATAAACGCTTCGAGATTTGTCACAGTGTAAAATAAGAGGGTTCTCCCTATCTGCTTCGTCGCATCGGGACTGCCAATCGCCTGCGATATCAAAGCAGCATGCGAGCAATTATTAAGCAGTCATTATTGTTTGCAAAATCATAAATGTCTCTATTGCCTTACACTTGAAAATCCAAAGAAATTATTTTTAGATAATAAAAATGTAACCCATAGAGAGCCGAAAGCCATAGCGATCTTATAAAATTATAAGTATCTATTCCCCCATGAATACGAAACATTTCTTTTTACTCACGGTTACAATAAGGAACCCCAACGAGCAAATCAGCACAGTGTTTAATATGAATTGCAACAAGGCGATATACGTGTACATATTCTCGATGTATTCCGCGAAGTTGATGATTCTTTGATGCTTTCGAATGATTTTACTCGTCGTGACGACAATTTCGCCTCCATCTTCGTTTTCTTTAGTTACAAGCTCATTCAACCAGCAACGCAGGATGTTTATTTGGCCGCCTGTGTGTAAAACCTGAAAATAATAATTCCATTATCTATTAAATCGACTAAAATTTCAGGAATGACACATATGTAGACAATGAGAACAAATATTACAAGACATTTTCTCATAATTGTGTATTGTTCATAATACATGCTCACGCGTGCATTACAACTTACCAAAGTTAAAAGCAGAGCATTTATTAAACCAGTTCCACAGGCGATCAGGATGAGATGGATAAATTGTGCAGATAATAGCATTTTGTACCTGCACTTTGTCTTTATGTCGACAGGAAGTACCACTCTTAAGAGAAGAGGTAGTTCGGACTGATGATCGGTGACGTCGACGTCGGCCAAAAAAATGCCGATGCTATATCCAATGATCGTTAAGGTGTGAAGTGTGAACATCGCATTAGTGATACGACCTGCTAATTTAGCCTTGCACGTTGTTTCGCGCATATTAATGTTGTTGTTGCTGCAATCGTTCCAGTCTTCCGCCATTATCGTCAAAATCTCGGCGAATTTTCTATAATACATATTCTCGATGTATTCCGCGAAGTTGATGATTCTTTGATGCTTTCGAATGATTTTACTTGTCGTGATGACAGTTTCGCTTCCTTCTTCGTTTCCTTTGGTTACAATCTCATTCAACCAGCAACGCAGGATGTCTATTTGGCCGCCTGTGTGTAAAACCTGAAAATAATAATTCCATTATCTATTAAATCGACTAAAATTTCAGGAATGACACATATGTAGACAATGAGAACAAATATTACAAGACATTTTCTCATAATTGTGTATTGTTTATAATACATGCTCACGCGTGCATTACAACTTACCAAAGTTAAAAGCAGAGCATTTAGTAAACCAGTTCCACAGCCGGACAGGATGAGATGGATAAATTGTGCAGATAACAGCATTTTGTACTCGCGCTTTGTCTTTATGTCGACAGGAAGCGTCACTTTTAAGAGGAGAGGTAGTTCGGAGTGATGATCGGTGACGTCGACGTCGGCCAAAAAAATGCCGATGCTATACCCAACGATCGTTAAGGTGTGAAGTGTGAACATCGCATTAGTGATACGACCTGCTAATTTAGCCTTGCACGTTGTTTCGCGCATATTAATGTTGTTGTTGCTGCAATCGTTCCAGTCTTCCGCCATTATCGTCAAAATCTCGGCGAATTTTCTATAAACGATAATGGAATTATCGATTATTGCCAGTTATGAAGGAAATCGTAATATCTCTTGCACCGCAGAAACTAGCGTGTCTGAAGAATTAATCTGAACGAATTGTAAAGCAAGTATAATGACACGCGTTAACGTTTGCTTTATTTTCCTTAAACAAATTTCGATTTTTCTTATCTTCCCGTGTTCGAAATAAAATTGTTAAATATATTTTATTTATTTGCTCGCGCATGTAAATAGTTGATTGTGCAGCGAGTATGTGGAAAGATATATATTCCATGAAAATAATGAAACCGATTTAACAATAATAACATGTATCCAGATTATTATTTTTTATAACATTATTTTATATATGACTCACGCTATATGACTCACTGTTCATTCAGCCAAAATATAATCAACTTAGTCATAAACTTCACTTGAGTCAGGAAGCTACTGAAACAATCCATCAAGTCGAAGAGATTGCTCGAGTGCAAATGCAGCAGAAGATACCGATAATGGCAGATAATATCTATCGTTAATGCAATGATCCAATATGCTCTACAGATTATAACGCACGACGTGCCCGGCCATATACCGCACAAAGTGAGCATTAATTTTAACGTGCGATTAATTGTATTTTTACGGGTCATAATTTCTTTTCTTCGTTTGCTACACAGTGTTTTTTACATGGGGAAAAACATCGATATTTACACACAGTAAGATGAACGCGCTTTCAGGAAGGTTAAAAAAGCTATGGTACTCTCGATATATTTCTAACTCGATGTATATTCCAGAACGACTGCGTAAGGACTGTGGGAGGTTCTCAAGAGATCATCAAATGAGCTCTCCCTTAGAGCGATTGACCAATAGTAGTAATTCATTAAATATTTAACAGTAGTAACTCATTAAATATTTTTTATCGTATTGCGTGTAGAGCTCACGAATACGCACTTCACAAATCGGCTTCCTCGATGCAAGAAAAAGAGGGAGCGTATAGAGCCATTTTTACTTCCCTTGGGAATTATTAACGCAATCGTGCAATCGCTTGTTTTAAATATGCAATGATATGATTTGTGCAAAGGTAAATGCGATCGTGTACGTCTGCTAGTCACTCGTATTTAATTTAAGAGTCAGAAACTCGTATAAAATTTAAGAGTCAGAAGCAATCAGACATGATCTAAATGCGTGGTATTACGGAAGTTTTCTTGCATACAATATTTCAAAATTTATCGGCAATATTTATGAGAAATTAATAAGTGGAAATGCACGTGAAATAATGTGATGTCAACGTTCATATGTGCAGAAAATATTTTTTTTGAAGATAGAGAAATTGTGTGCCTTTAACAGAAGTCTCAAAAATATTATTTTCAATCAACATTTGTACAAAAAAAAAGAATATCATGTTTTTTTTCTACAATTCAAAAGAAAAATATTTATCGTAAATTTTACGGAAAAATATCGCATATATTATTATCTTAGCATATATTATTCTATTTATTTATCTAAAAGTATATACTTGAAAATATATATACTATGTTTTTCTTGATATGTTTTCCTAATTAGTGGTAAAGTCATGTCTACACGTCAGTTAGCTGAGGTACTTCACGACTATCGTGCAGGAAATGACTGTAAGGCGCTCATTTCATCGCCAGCAGAACCGACAAATAAGATCCCGAGGCTTTCATGATCTATAACAAAGTTGTTTCTTTATATTAAAGAGAGAAATGCAAAATATATTATTTTAATATTTATATATAAAAATCTTTATGATAAAAGAATAGAAACATGGAGGTATGTAATCTTATGCAAAGAAGAAGCTTGATCTAAGAAAAAATATTTTTTCTTCATATTTCTTACATTAGTAAAGCATTCCAAGGAGAGATCCATCATTTTGCCAGCCGTGAACCTCAATTTTCTCTGTGATCTTGAAATTATAAACAATAAAATACGACTATCCGCGGTCTTCATATTGTACCAATCACAATTATACGCTGCGTTTCCGAATGCAATGCTCTGAAACAACAAAGAGATATTTTAAAAAAAATAACAAAGAGATATTGCTTTATATATAGCGTGTGTGTTCTTCTCTATAATATTATTTTCAATATTGCAAACGCGCCGCGCGCAATATCACATCTTATACAGTTGTTATCGTAACAATTATCTTTTTAGTCGCTAACCTTGTTGCTTAGGTATTCTCCAGCAAAACAGAATATAAACGCTTCGAGATTTGTTACAGCGTAAAATAAAAGAGATCTCACTATCTGCTCGGTGGCGTCGGGACTGCCGATTGACTATAATATCGAGACAAGATGAATATATAACATATTTTTTAAGTTATAAATAGTTGTTTCTAGGCATCATATGATTTATAATAAATTTAAATTCGTGTAATATATATATATATAAAAGTAATAAATAAAAATATTAAATTAATTAATTGATTTTTAAATAAATGTATTTATATTCTTAGAATTTTGACAATTTCACTCACAGTTACAATAAGAAATGTCAATGAGCAAATCATCACCGTATTTGATGTGAATTGCAATAAAGCAATGTGTGTGTGTAGATTCTCAATCTTTTCCGAAAGGCTGATAATTTTTTGATGTTTTCGAATGATTTTCGTCATTCTTGCGATCTCTATCGATCCAACTTCCGTCAACCAGCAAAGCAAGATGTTTATTTG